ACCCCCGACCAGTAGGTGCCGACCGGCCGACCGGTCGGCGGGTCGGCAGCTGACCAGTCAAGGGTCGCCGACGGTCGGGTTGTGCAACACTGGTCCGGACATTTTTGCACTCTGGGGACCGGTCCGGACTGTCCGGTGTCCGGGGATGTCCAGATCACCGGACAGTCCGGACCGGTCCAGACACTGGTCTGGAAGACAATCCAGAAGTGTCCAGTGTCCGGGTCCGGGGTTACCATGCAGCCGAAGAGCATGGCAATGCTCTTGCAGCCGTTTGGTGCATAATGCATCATTTGTTCGACAAAGAAAATGCCCGCAGGAAAGAATAACTGCGTAGATTAGTCCTCGGGCAGCGAGGAGTACAACGGATGTGGATAACCACTGCACAGAAGATAAACATTTCGTCATGTCAAGACTCAAACAAACTGGCAAGGAAAGGGAGGGCAAGAGAAACGAGTACATTCTACAAAGGAAACAGGGTTTTCATTTATCACACCTTCTCTTCCTCACGTGATCTTCCTGCAGTTGAATTATGCTCCACAACACTTGCCTCCATCCTTTCGAGATCCTGCTTCTTGGTGGCCAGTCTCTTATCTATATCTTCTAAGCTCTTCAGTGCATCTTCATAATGCTGTGCAGCTGCTGCATGCTGCAAAGAGACACACAAACCACATACAAACATGCAACTACTTAGACACATAATGCCCAATTCAACCTTTTGTTTTTCCTTCTTAATGCCCAAATCAACCTTTTGTTTTTCCTTCTTAATGCCCAATTCAACCTTTTGTTTTTCCTTCTTAATGCCCAATTGAACCTTTAAATGGCCATAATGCATACTTCAACCTTAGTAATAGCCATGGCGAGGATCCACACATCTGGACAGCCATTGCGGGGTGCGTCAGGCATTGCTGATGTGGCGCTGCCTCTGGTCTGCATTGCCTGCTGATGTGGCGCTGCCAATGGTCTACATTGCATGCTGATGTGGCGCTGCCTATGGTCTACATTACATGCTGATATGGAGCTGCCTATGGTCTACATTGCATGTTGATGTGGTGCTGCCTGTGGTCTACATTGCATGCCGATGTGACACATGCTACAGGTCTACATTGCTGATGTGGTGCATGCCACTTGTCTCAACTGTGGACGTGGCATTGTCCGCGCTGTCTACATGAGATGACTGGTTGCGACAAGGAGGAAGATCGGGATCTGTGGATGATTAGGATACAGAGTACTTACCTGAGACCGGCGTCGGTATTCTTCGCTGCTGGCTGTCTTCATTGTCTCTATGAGAGAGTGGTGCCACGTGGCACTTCTGTGATATCGGGACTGATCAGACTTGTTACTATTATTTGCTTGATGACGTGGAGGGAGAGGAAGACCGGAGAAGAAGTGGGATTGGTTGGGTTACTATTGTGTGATCACTTCTTCCACCTTCTCCCTTTTCTCTCCTCCCTCCACTCTTTCCGTCTATTGGTGACGAGATATTGTTGCAGATATCATTTTCACGTTAACTGGAGACTTTGTACAGATCTGAGACTACAGGACTTCGACGTCTGATGAGTATCTTCCTGACTGGGTTCATTACAGCTAGACCAGGTTTCCAGTTTTTAATGAAAAACTTCCGTTTAAACCATTAGTACCTTTGACGGTTGGGAAAGTAGGGAGCCTCAGGTGGGCCTCCGATCTTTTAGGAGGCCAAAACGAAACCACGGTCGCCGATGAGATTTATCAAAGGCGGCCGTCGTCGAGCCCAACCCCCGACTTTTCAGGACTTCCCTGTCCCAACCGTCAAAGGTACTAGTGGTTTAAACAAAAAAAGGAAAGAGATCAGGCGGTGAGGTGTGTTGTGGTTGAAAAAAAATAATAAAGTCGATAGCTTGACACTCATTTACATACTCAACACTTTGCAGCCATTCCCTGAAGGCTCTCAACTGTATTAGCCCCCCACCCACATCTGCGCCCCTGTACATGCGCGGCAAATTGCATACAACACCCTGGCAGAGTGCATATAATGCACATGCACCAAAAGGAAATAAATTGAACATTCCAAACGGAAATATCATTCAGAACAGCACACAATAGAGGTCGGTTGCTACCGTCTTCACCCGAATAGAACACCCAGTCATTATAGCTGCATTTGGCCCAACTTTCAGTCCAGATGTGCCGGGCGTTCTATTCGGGAAGACGGTAGTATGGTCATAATACAAGGGGAAAAGGCCATGATGCACATGCAATTTCCTGCCCCCCATTACATCAAGATGCTGATCTATTATGTGATGCTTCTCTGCTTGTAGGAGCCCATGGCAAGGTACCAGGGCTAGGCACAGAAAACATATCATGCAATTAACAGCTATGACCAAAATGGACGTTGGACCTGAGCAGACCAGACCCAACCAAGTCTGGACTCTGGACCAAGGCCCCCACAGCTGATTTGGATGAGGGTGGTAAGCTGTAGGAATCAATCGATTGGGGATTTTCTTAACAACTTTCGTCATTTCGCAAAAACTGGTGACTGTTGCCGTCCCTGTCCGCGCATTGATTCTACCTTTCCTCGGATAGATGGGTATGTATCTTTTCGCCCGAGTACTTTTGCTTCTTTCCTGGTTGGATGCGCAATTCCAAAACATCTTGCAGCCATCTTCCTCTAATCTGATACATCGTCTCAAGAAGCAGATTCTACAAATCTCTTCTTCTTCTTCTTCTTCTTCTTCTTCTTCTTCTTCTTCTTCTTCTTCTTCTTTGTCTTCGTCTTCTTCGTTTCTTCTTCTTTTGCCTCCTCCGTCTCCTTTCCTTTCTCTTCTACCTCTTCTTTTGAGGATTGTGACTTGAAGATTCTGCGATTGCGTCAGTACAGGGTTCATGGTTTTGTTTGTAGCCCAGTAGATCACAACCCTGGAAACGCCTTTGTTTGTTGTCCATTGGTGTATGCCTCGCGTACGAGTGCTCTGTTTCTTGGTAACCACATGTCTTATCTGTTCACCAAGATAAGTCGTCAGTCATTGGTCGTTGTAGATTGGATCGTAAGAAGATTGGTTTTGAAAAGATGGGTAAGTGAAATCTCAAGGGCTAAGTTTGGGGATGCATACTGTATTTCAAAGCACAAGGATGTCACGAGGTGGCGTCCGATATGTCTACCCTTTTCCAAAGGTGGAGCATTGAGTGGGGGTCGTGTTGCCTATGCGGTCAATGGAGTTACTTCTCAGCATTTCTTTTGAGGTCACGAAAATATTTTCGAACCTTCCTCATGGCAAGGTTGCATGCCTGACGAAAGGTCAAAGGGAGGCTGGTCGTATTTTCATCTCCTTCTCTCAAATTATGTCTTATGTCTTCTTTGACCCTCAAAACACTTATGTTAGCGCTTCCAGTCAGCTGTTGAAGCAAGTCGTTGAATACCAATTGGAAAATCTACCAGTCCGGTGCTCGCTTGTAGTTGCGTGCTTATAGTAACCTTAATAGACTATAATGAGAGAGAAGGTTAACAACAGTCGTATTTTTCATCACCACTTCAAGACACCCTTCACCACTTTAAGATACCCTTCACCACTTCAGGATGCAGCCTGCCTAAACAGGTGGTTTCCAGGGTCTTCGGACCTTTCACCACTTCAGGACACCCTTCACCACTTCAGGATGCAGCCTGCCTAAACAGGTGGTTTTCATGGTCTTCGGACCTTTCACCACTTCAGAACCATTCAGGATTTTCAGACTGCCCAAAACTCTCACTTCACCACTTCAGGATGCAGCCTGCCTAAACAGGTGGTTTTCAGGGTCTTCGGACCTTTCACCACTTCAGGACCATTCAGGATTTTCAGACTGCCCAAAACTCTCACTTCATAATTTTCATTCCTGAATTTTCAGCTACCCATTAACCACTTGTGTATAATGAATTTTCGTTTCAGCAATTGATTGGTAACGATCACAAGTTGGTTGTCGGGCTTCGTGCGGTCGACGATGTCTCTCTCCTCTCCATATATTTCAAGGATTCTGATTTTTCGTTTGGTAAGGCCCTCCCATTGCTTACTTCGTTTCGGGATTGCTGTGACAGGCATCTCAAATTGGAGCAAACCAACATGGGTCAATGCTGGGATTATATAGGCTGCATTTTGAAGATTTTTGAGGATCCATGCAAGGTTGTTCGTTTGGCAATGCACATAAATCAGAGGGCTGTTGTCAATCAGCCTCTCGTTTTTCGAAGTATCCAAGACTTCACATCCTTTTCGAGCAAGAAGCAGAAATTGGCAGTCCTAGGATCGTTTTTGCATCGAGCGCGGTCTTTTACCTCGGTTCCAAGGACTGAACTGGCTTTTTTTTTTATGTTGAAACATGAGCTGTGGCTTCGAGGCTATCCAGACTATTCTTTTGATATCTGTTTGACGTGATGTTTGAAGCTGGGTAGGCCAGGGGACTTTTTTCTTCTTTTTTCCCTCGGTTTGTGAACTTACGCTCTGGTGAACTGGTGGTATACGAGTGATGAAATTATAAAATATCTGCATTACCAACTGGGCCACCCAGGTCACCTTGGTTGCCCGGGCAGCCTGGGCGGGCAAGGACAGCCAGGCGAGAACCAGGGAACATCCCTGTAACAAAAAAAAAAAAATCCAAAATGTCCGAGAGAAAACTATGTTGTGCAGAAATATAAACTGAACAACCTTTTTTTTTTTTTTTTTTACATGATGATCAGGCGGATGTGCCCTCGGCAGAAGCCTTGGGTGCCATGTGCATTCAAGGTATCGATGGCTCACGGATTTCTGCAATTCACATTGAGTATCGAATTTTGCTGCGCTCTTCGTTGTTGTGAGGCCAAGATATTTGTTTGCCGAGAGTTAACTGAACAACTTTTGCCTTAACGACTTTTGCCTTAGGGTCACGGACTCAGGCTGAAATTATTTGCCAAATAAGAAGTAAAATATATATATTATTCACTTTTGGCCCGGCCGGGCAAATCGTTCCGGGCCACTCTGGTAACGTAGTAAAATATTGAATATTCGAAATGAAAATTCATTTGAATAGATGAGCGATGTTATGGCACAGCATATGGCACACGGAGATAGGCTATTCTGTACAGACAAAGAGACATCAGGCAAGCATCTGGGCAACACCAAACCTTGTTCTCAAGCAGTTTGCCTTCCGCAGTTGCCACATCAATTCGCGCCTTTAACTCATTTATCTGCTTATCCCAGGGCTCCAGCTCAGCGTGACTCTTTGCAAGATCTTGTCTGTAAACCTCAGCCTCCTCTGCCCATTCGGAAAAGAAAATGGAACGAAAAAAGAAAATCAAAGGAAGAGAACGAAGAAAGTAGGAACATTAGAACCGAACATGCATCTTCCATCCCCTTGCTATGACCAGCATGAACTAGAATCTAGACTGCCCTACAACCACCCCAGCTGACATCCTGTGCTCGGTCAGTCGATTGACTCTATATTCCTACCTATGCACCACCACAGACCTTTCCTCCCCACTTTCCTCCATATCTTAAGCATGAAATCCTTCACACTGGAACAACCCAGATACCCCGCGCTCTCCCCCCCCCCCCCCCCCCCCCCCCCCTATCGACCATCCACTGATGACCCGCTTCTCCCATGCATAAACGAAACCTCCAAAAGCATGCGCAGAGAGTCCCTCATAACTTTAGTACAAGGTCCCAAAACTCGCACCCCAATGCTGCCCTCATCGACTGCAAGGGGGCTGCTTTACTAACCACGGCCCCTGGAACAGCCCAGATACTATATCCTTGACAACAGCAATAAAATACTGTTTAGAGACATGACACCACCCTTGTAGAAACTCTGTGCGGATTCTCCCAACTAGTCCTAAATTGATAAGCATCTCAATCGTGACACAAGGATCATTAAACAGTTGTTATTCAGTGGTTAAAGAGGACTAGCCGGGAGACAGTAATGTATTTCCCACATACACCATGGTAAAGGGGCCTTGGGGGGGGGGGGGAGAGGGATCGCAATTGCTCCGCACCTCGGATGGTCTCCTTCAACTTCTCTAACTGCTTCTCCTCTTCTGCAAGTTTCTCGGTCATTGACACAATCTCCTCTTCCAGCTTGGGGATCATTTCAGTGCTATCAGCATTCTCTTTCTCCATTTCTTCAATGCGAGCTTTGTCCTGCGCTTGAAAAAATATCATAAGCAACAAACAAGACCTTGAAGGTAGCACAGTAACAGGAGGCAATAAACTCTTTGAGTCTTGAAATCTTGATCAATGAGTTGCATCCATGGCTACCATGCAGACTTCAGGGGAAGGGTCCAGATGGTCGATGGTCCAGGGTCCACGGTCCGGATTCCAGATGTTTGGAGCTGTCCTGATTACATTCAGGGAATTCTGGAAAAGAAACTGTTGTGCAGTGTGCACCATTCCAAAAAGAAGACTTTGCCTGAGGGTCATGGGAAAATTCGCAGCCAAATCTGTGTAAATCACTAAATCTCAGTAAAATAAAAAATGAAAATAAAAGTACTTTTTAAACCACCAGTGCATGGCCCCAGGCAACTGGAGAACCTGTTTTGAGACTCCGAAAATTTAGGGGGCGCCGTAGTGGAAATGAATCGGCCGCCCGCAGCCTCCGCAAGGGGCCCGCAGCCGATAGCTGGCATGTAATGGTGCTTTAAGGCACCCCCTGCTCCAGATCAGATGCAGACATTTGGACCTGGTCCGAAGCGTGTGGTGTCCAGTGTCGGTGCACTGATGGGTTCTGTGTCTGGGTCCGTGGCAACCATGGTTGCAACTTACAAGGCTTTATCAAGAGGGTCACGTACAGGATTGCATACTGTTCACAAAATGAGCAAAAACCTAGGTTACTTGGGACACCTCACCGGGGGGGGTTGCCGCCCGTGTGAACCCAGGCATGTTGAAAGTCCGCGAGTTCTGTTTTTTCTTTGTCCATCCATAGGGCATTTCTGCACCCACCAAAAGCAGCCTGAATCCAGGTTCCTTTTCGTTTTTCAGTTTCCTTGGGGAGGGGAACAGGATATAAATGGGGCTTAAAGGGGTTTAAAAAGTTGTGCGGCTTGTGCCTTAGCATCTTAGCCTGATTTTTTCTTTATTTCTTTTTTCAAGTTTTTTGTCTTTGTGATCCAATAAGGAATTCTGAGGCCACCCTCAGCCATAAGTTGTTTGCATGGGGCTGGATAGGTCGTCCAACCATTCCCGCCCAAGCGGCCTAGCTCAGTTGGTTGAGCACGTAAGTGGCACTCAGGAGGTCGTGAGTCCGATAGCCAATGTCACCCTTTAGATCCCCCCTGGCCTCCTGGGGTATGCTTCAGGTTCACCAGCGGAGATGGTTGGCTTGGGCCTCCTGGCTGGTTGTGGAAGCGATTTAGGCGATTTCCAGCCGCCACCACGTGTTAGGAGCTAGGAAACTGCTCTCCGCATAGAGTAGAGGTGGTTGCTGCACAGTAAGTAGTGTCTGGTAGACCCATAACCGTTAGGAGTGTCTCCTTGGCCTAGTGTGTATATTAGGTGGTGTGAGGGTAAAAAATGATGAGAGAAGAAAGTAGAATAGTAAATGAAGCTGTCGCCCGATGAGGAAAAGACAGCCTGCATTTAATGATTTTAATTTAAAAAAAGGAAGGGGAGGAAAAAAAAAAAAAAGGTCGCCCAACCAGTACCCAACTGCAATAGGTATGCAACTCTAAATCCCCTTGGTGGACATAGGAGGAGTTTTGTGCCCTAGTTCAATGAGAAGGAGGGGAAGAGAGTAGAGGATAGAATAGGAGAGGAGAGGAGAGGAGAGGAGTGCAGAGGGAGGGGAGAAGGGAGAAGGGAGGAGCGCAGAGGAGCTGCAATCTTTTCTTTTCTTACTTTTCTTTTCCACGGCCATCTCAGGCCTGCACTGGGTCACTACCCCCCAGCCTCCAGCCCCTCATATGGAAATGATGTAGGGTGGGCGTCACGGATAGTGGTGGTTTAAACTTTAAACCTCAAACGCCCTTGCCCTCGGGCGACACTGGGTTTCTTGTATATGATTTAGTACACAGTGACTGGAGCAAAAAAAAAAAGATAACACCTTTCAGGACAAGATATATGGCAATGGGTCCATTGTATTCTGGGAAGCATCAGCAGATTCAGCATGATTCCTACTCGACCGGCAAGTCACACAGATATTCATCAAGAAGATAAAATAGGTTTAGGAATCATGGCACCAATGAGACTACCTTCTTCCCCCGAATACAACGTAGGGCCATTATAACTGTATCTAGACGGAAAGACACCCAAATACAGCTGTAATGCCCGTACGTTGTATTCAGGGGAAGAAGGTAGCTCAGTTGGTACACCCATGAATTGGTGAAATGCCGAAGTTCGAATCCAGATGAATGACACAAAAATAACTCTGAAGTCTCTGGGGCCAGCCAGTTCAACGACGATATCTCAAGGCTGTGGCCCTTTGGGGAAAAAAAAAAAAAATGTTTAGGAATCATGGCAGATACGCCGTTTAGATTTGCATACCTCACTATGGAAATTCTTGGCGAATAAAAACTATTAAGAAGTAATAAAAACTCAATAAGGGGAAAAAAAAAAAGTTTAAAAAGTTAAAAAAACTCAATATGCAGTACAACGAGCATAGGAAAGTTCGTAATCACTACCATTATCATCGCTACAGACGATAGTTCAGATGATTGAGAGGCACTCACCTTTGCAACCTTGTCTTCAACTTTCTTCTGCTTCTGCTTTCTGTGCTTAATGTCTTCCCGAAACTTGATGTCCTTCCTCTCAAACTCTTTGAATTCTTTCTTGCATGCTTCAACCTGCGCCTCAACCTCCTGCACACTCGTGGGCACAATCGGAAATGATAGTCGGCAACTAGAACACAAAGGGCAGCCGACGAAAAAAGGAGTAGCAGAGAACAATGCCAGAAAAAGCGAGCGTTAAACAACATGTCTGCCTTCAGAAAGAATCAGAAGCTGCAGTTGGAATCAAAGGGTTTTTTTGTGATATTTTTGTGGAAGCTCAGTGAAGTCGCCGGTGGACATTGGCTTCCACAGAATACCCTTCTTCCATTGCAAATCCTGCTTCCGTTATTAGGCACACTATGCACAATGGAAAACATAGGGAGTATGGCTGCATCCTTTAATCCCTTCCCGTTTTTCATTCCACAGGCTCCTCCAGAAAACATCCCACCTTGTTCAGCACAGCTCTCTCTCTCTCTCTCTCTCTCTCTCTCTCTCTCTCTCTCTCTCTCTCTCTCTCTCTCTCNCACACACACACACACACACACACACACACACACACACACACACACACACACAGAGAGAAAGAGACAGAGAGTGAGAGAGCATCACAAGTCTCTGCGTTGAACTATGACAATCCCTGTTAGCAGCTATTTCGAGCTGGAAAATGTGAATCAACAATCACAAGAACAGCCAAGGGCTGGTAAAAAAGAAAGAAAAGCCGGGAAAAAAAAAAAAAAACGAGGGCTCGAGATGAGCAGCAAAACAAGAAAACCAAAGCCATAAGGTCATGTTTTCGTAAAAAAGAAAGAAAAGAAAAACCGGAATTCAAAAAGAGACAAGAACAGTACCGACTGAAAAAGCAATGCAAGAAGAGAGCAGAACAGTACCCACTTTGCAGCTCTTATCTTGACCATTGAAGGAATCCTCTAGCTCCTTTAGTGATTTCTTCTGCTCAGCAACTTTTTCCCTACATCACAAAACATGAAAAATACGGATTGAGGGGGGCAGTTGGAGTGGGGTGAGGGACGAGCCCTGAGGGGAGGGGTAAAAGAGGGCATCCATTGAATAGTAAGCACAGACACAAGGACTAAAAGGATGTCAAAAGAATGATACTGGATCAACAATGCCGGCATTCAGAAGCAGAGTGCTGTCTCTCCAATATGCCAATAGCCACCAGGTAAGTCCAGGCACATCTCTCTCTCTCTCTCTCTCTCTCTCTCTCTCTCTCTCTCTCTCTCTCTCTCTCTCTCTCTCTCTCTCTCTCTCTCTCTCCTCTCCCCCCCCCTCTGCACAGGATATGATCATCCCTAAACCTCACTCTCTCACTCTACTGCTAAGCTATGGCACCACCTATCCTCGCTATGTCTACTCTAGCGCACACTCTCACTCTGACTCTTGCTCTCTGTCTGCCTTATTCCAGCGCTAGCACTGCAGCAGCAGCGCTCCAGCTTTAAAGCAACACAAGGCAGAATGAAGAACGAGCTGGGGCAGGCCAAGTTTATGTAGTGTTGACTCAGTCTGGCCTGCCTCCAGTTGCCTCCTCGTAGGGCTGAGATTTCCTGATCTGTGCCTGGACCCAGCGGACCTCGACGACTTCTGGATTGCAATTCTACAAATCTTGGGTGCCCGAGCGCCCCGAAAAACGGCCTAGATAGGAACTCAAATTCCTTACCGGAAGGGAAGTGAAAGAAAATTTAAGAAATATATGTCCTGTACTTTCTGTAGATCAAATCCATACGTTCAAAAAAGATCTGAACCTGGGTCCGGACCTGATCTTGTCTGGACCCGTTTGGTCTGGTGTCCAGACCCAACACAAGATTTGGCACATAGGGGTTGCAGATTGAGTTTGACTCCATAAGACTTTGCACATAGTGATGGTGGATTCTGGTTTGTAGGGAGTGCCACACTCAATATCAGGATGCAAAGAATCTCAAGAGTCAAGACCAAGATTCTACAAGTGTGCTTGTGCGGGTACAGGAGAGACGCAAGTCATTCCAATGCTGGGCTACCAACTGGGCCACACTGGCTGCCCAGGTGGCCCGGCCGGGCAAGGGTCAGGCAAGGTCCCCGCAAATCATCCAGCCGGGCAAGTGGTCCCAGGCCACATTGATGGTCCGGCCGGGCAAGTGGTCCCAGGCCACATTGATGGCCCCACGGGCAAGTGGTCCCAGGCCACATTGATGGCCCCACGGGCAAGTGGTCCCAGGCCACATTGATGGCCAGACCGGGCAAGTGGTCCCAGGCCACTCTGGTAGCCTAGTTCCAATGTGATTTCACGGGGATGAATGAAGATGGGAACAGAATCTGGCATGACAAGTGGGACCTTACTGTTCAGCTTGGAGTTTTGCTTGTGCATCGCTAATGTCTGCTTTCACCTTAGCAGCACTCCTCTCAGCATCGACGAGATTTGCTTGGCAAAGGGTTCCTTTCCACCTGAGCACCTCTGCCTCCTTGAGCATGGAAGCCTCAGCTTCATTTTTGGCGCTCTGAAACATGTGCCCAACAGCCACGCCAGAGGCCGAATAAGACAAAGACAGACCAGAAAAACACGCAAAATGCAAACCTGTCAAATGTGATAAACTGAAAAAAGTCACAGAGCCGAAGCCTCAGTACGTTGCCTTCCTCACTATCACGCAGGCTCTGCCTCTTTTTCTCCACACAGCATGCATCCATGGCCTCCTTACACACCATCCCATGGTCAGAAGAATCAAACTGGAAAAAAGCAAACGGAAAATGCATTGCATCATTTGCATGCCCTTTTCCTGGCAGTTCACGGAGTTTCGCATGCTTCGGGGCTTTGTTCTTGGCATAACACTTGTCTCAATGGGCCATAGACCTCTCTGGCCAGCCATAGAATTTGTCTGTGACCCATCGGTGCTTGTTAGGACCACGGACGGGCCTACAAATTTCCTTTGTGTTTTGCTGAAGTGCTGGCGCTGGGATTTGATCCCAGGCGTCCCGGCAGTTGCGCCATGCCAGAATTTGAACCCAGGCCTGAGTTTTAACGTGATGCATGCTTTAGCAGTAGCTCAGACCACTCCCGTCGTATTTCAGTCCAGCTCAGTCGTTCCCAGCTCAGTCGTTCCACACTGGCAGAACCTTGCCCCTGCCCAGGACAGTAGGACCCAGTAGCAGGCTTGATGTTTTTGCACTTCGTTGTTATCACAGGCAGAGAAGCAATTCTGACTGTCTGCCATAGCAGCCGAGATATCTGAGACTCCAAACCATAAAGGTTTGATCAATTTAAGGAAACAAAAAAAGGAAAAGAATATGAAATTATGAATTGCCCCCCTTCTGCCTGGACAACGTTTGAGAAAAGGAGCTTCCAGCTACTCAGACAATATGGAGTGTGGGTGATCTGGAAGAGAAGATGCCAACTAACGATCGACAATACACAGCTACCCATACAAGAAGCCCAGGAGACATCCGAGCACAATGGAGCAGCACGAGAAGTAAGATCGAGCACAATCAAGAAAGTGCTCAGGAATACATCAAAACATTCTCTCAACTCGTCCTTGGGCAGGGGACGGTGGCAACGATACAGGACCACAGAATACGATTTATATGGGGGCAGGTGGCAAGCAACTCCAGGGATCAGGAAGGAGGCGGTAGCAGTCGGGGATCGGAACTGAGTTCAGGGAATCGGTAAGAGGGGAAGGGGCAAGGAGGGTTTAGGGTTTACGGGGAGTATCTGTATTAAGCAGGTCACGAGGTAGGCAGGATGCATTCCTCGGTCGGAATCCTCGCTGTCCTTTGGGACATCCGTTAAAATTGGAACGATACAGAGAAGATTAGCATGTCCCCTGCGCAAGGATGACACGCATAAATCGAGAAATGGTCGAAGTTTTTTTCGTCGCTCTTCCCCGTGTGAGCGGGTCTGCTGGCTTTTACTGATCTCGAAAAGGATGCATTCCTCGCTTCTCATTTAGGTTAAGCCAGTTCAGCTTTAACCAGACCAACATTCAATGCGACACTGGACCCGGTTTCCAGCCAAGCCGAAGCTGAGTGAGGAGACAAAATTTTTTAGGAGAGAGACGGGGGATTACTGGGCAGCCTGTCGGGATAGCAGGCCCAGAAGCATGGTAGAAGCATGGTAGACGTAGGACAAGCTCCTTTTCCCAGTCGAACTTTTTGAGGAATCATGCACTAAAGGGACGCTGGACACAGTTTCCAGCCAAACCTAAGCTGAGTAATGGCCTCAGTACACCGGGTTGAGATGTGGAGGGATTCACGGCCTCCTTTCGTGACTTGAAAAAAAAAAAAAAAAAAAAAAAAAAAGGCTATGAACTTAGTACGAAGTCATGAACCTCAATTGCAGTTCTAGTTGTTATACGTTGATGGGTGTGGCTGGGCGCCCTGGTGGGCATATTTTTGAGAAACTTTCCGTATCTGTTTGATGTGGAAAAGTGATTATTCATCAGATGACCATCCATGAAACATGATGATGTCTGATTGAAGTTCAAAGTAAGCACAATCTTAAGAATGGGTCAGAGGAAGGGTAGCATATGGGCCATTAACTTTTCTCCTACCAATGATTAGCCTCTTGCCTATGGAAGAGGCCCATAGTAACCTATGAGTGATAACCAAGAGCCTGACTTCAGTGGGCCACAGAATTTACATGCGACCGCCAATCGGTGGTTGCAGGTAGAGCAAGAGTAAGGCTCTTGGCACAACTTCCCTGGACAGTTCCCGAACCAACACAGTTTTTCTAATGGCCAATGGACTCTAAGAAAAGTGAGGAGCAACAGTTCAGATTCAAGCGTTAGAGTGGATCTAGTGCATAGATAGACCGTCAAGAAAAGCAGAACTACATTCTTCTCATGGTTACACTAGACACGAACCCGAGCACCATCCAGACTTGACCTGGACCTGGGTGTGGATGCCATCCAGACATTCCAACTGATCCAGACATTCGAACTGATCCAGACAAGGAGGTGGCTTAAAAAATATATATATGATTATCTTCTTTCCGTCAGTTTCTGATTGTCCTTCTTGGATTTGGTTATGGATTTCACAAGGACCCTCAAATCCACATGGCTATGCGGCTGTCAAGATCGTAACTCTGATTCTTCTATTGGTCATAATTTGTTACCAGTCCAGGCCATGTTTGGGACCAATGGTTCAGATCAAGGGTTAGGACAGACCTGGTGTCTACACAGATCGTCCGACGGTCCAGGCATACCAATCTAGGCCATGTGCTCACCTGGATCGCCAACCAGTTACACTTGTCCTGAACTTCACACGTCAGCCAGGGCAGTCGACGGTAACCGACACAGAGCCAGGAACCTGGGGGACTTGCTAGACCTATGAGAGAACTGGGGGCATGACTTCACAGCTGATTGTTGCGATGTAAAATAGCGATACTGACAAAGTCACAGCAACGGAGTAGGGTTACACTGGAATAAGTTCGAGAGTACAGGCTCGATGGACATCATCATGCTAATGAACCGACACTCTATCCTACCACTAGATGAGCCAAATATCAGAGTGCTGGAGCTGGAAGTGCATGCAGACAGAGGTAGAGGTCACAGTCCACAGAAGGAAAAGTCCAGAGCAGCCCCTGTTTTTTTTTTTTTTTTTTTTTTTTTTTTCCTATTCTTGAGAAAGAAACTCGGAAGTTTGAAGTCCAAAGCAGCTCTTGGGGAATAGTTCTACACATCAATGGCACCATAGCTTCTGCAAATCCACAGTGGGATTGCAGAATATCAATGGCCTAAATCTAGTGCGATGTACCTTTGCAAAAGTTTGCATAGATGCAAACAATCAGGTGGGGAATCTGACGAAGAGAATACAAACGGGTCATTTTCACCGAGGTAGAAGTAATGCAGTGCACCTTGGCAAAGAGAGAATCAACATGGATCTTTTCCTCGGGTCAGCTACGGAGTACAGATTACCGCCGCAGCTCTCTCTCTCTCTCTCTCTCTCTCTCTCTCTCTCTCTCTCTCTCTCTCTCTCTCTCTCTCTCTCTCTCTCTCTCATCCTTTTTCCTCATGGAAACAGTCCCTTGTTCTAGAAAACATTGACTGGTCGGAACAGGAAGAACACACTGCAAGGGCATCCGCCTTGAGATATCATCAATGAGCTGACCGGCCCCAGGTAATAATTCTCTCTCTCTCTCTCTCTCTCTCTCTCTCTCTCTCTCTCTCTCTCTCTCTCTCTCTCTCTCTCTCTCTCTCTCTCTCTCTCTCTCTCNCTCTCTCTCTCTCTCTCTCTCTCTCTCTCTCTCTCTCTCTCTCTCTCTCTCTCTCTCTCTCTCTCTCTCTCTCTCTCTCTTCCTTTTTCCTTATGGAAACAGTCCCTTGACTGGTCGGAACAGGAAGAACACACTGCAAGGGCATCCGCCTTGAGATATCATCATTGAACTGACCAGCCCCAGATAAGAATTATTATTTTATTCTTCTGTTCTCTCGGTTCCATCTGGATTTGAACTCAGGACTGTATTTCAACAGCTGATAATGGGTCTACCGACTGAGCTAGGAAGAACATACTGCTATCCCCGCTGCACGATTGAGTGGTACACAAGTTGGAGGTATAAAAAGAACATATGACAACACCGTTGCTCCTCTTGATAAACAGATCACCGGTTCAAAACTTCAAGTCCTATTGGATATGATTAATACAATACCAAAAGGGGCATTTCCCCTTAAACCACCAGTACTCCCGAACCTATCTTGTCAACCTGGTGTTTTCACCAGCACTGACCTTCCCATCCTCAATGGTTAGGCCTACCTGGTCACAACAAGGAGGGGCAATTGTGTGAATTGAGTTTGGGACTTTGGAGTCTTTGGACTAAAACTGTTTGGCAGGCAAAACACTTTCGCTTGATGTTCCAAATATTTTTCTCTAACCTTATATCCAACATTGTTTCCGGAATTTGTCGTTGGAGGAGATGAGAATGAAAAATGGCCAAACCTGGAGCACTCAAACTTCTGCTCCCTATCCCCGCCCACCCCCCTTGCACCCAGTAGGCCAAACTTGCCTCCGGCTTCCACTCATTCTAGCAAGTGCCCTGTTTGCCATCAGGAGCATTGGTGATTTAAAAGGCAAAAAAAAAGGGGAGAACATACTGGTGGACGGAAGGCCAAGATCGCATCCATGTCAATACCTCCAGTCCATCTTTGTCTTTCTCCACCATCTTAACGCGGTGCACCATTCCAACATGAATCTCACTCAACTCCTCCAACCTGTCCAATGAAGAAAGGAAATACAGTGCTCGTCAAATTCCACGGAACTGCACAGCTAAGCACCCTGGCAACATAAGCGAAAAACACAGTCGTGCTGGGATCCTGACAGCTGAAACCCCTGCTTTGCTGGTACAAGATATGGAAGTGAGAATAACAACGGATAGGGCATGTCCTTCCTGACAGCCGTTAAAATTGGAATGACGCAGAGAAGGTTAGCATGGCCCCTGTGCGAGGATGACACACATAAATCGCAAAAGAAGGAATGGATAGGGCACCATCAGAGCTGCGCATGATGTTGAGGGGGGCGGCGGTGACTTGGTGGACGAGAAAGACAGTGAGGAGGATAATGATAACAGCAAAATGGATGCCCACAACCACAAGGACCAGCCAGCAACAAGACGAGGATAAGGCAAGGATCGGATACAGCACGTGGACCAAAATCAGGAGAATTACCAGGGCAAGGGTTGGGCAAATAAGCGGGGTGAGCATGAGAGTGCTTGGAACGAAGAGGTAGCTAAGAGTGGCAAAGACAGTGGGGATGATCACAGCCATTAGGAAAAAGTACATAGGGGAAGACAATGGCAAGAATAACTGGATAGGGGTGAGCATGAAGGCAGAGACGGGTGGGGACAGGGGATGGCGGACGTGACAGGGGCAGGGGTAGGGATGGGAAGAGGATGGTAATAAGGACGGGGATAGGGGGCAGAAATGGACAGGGGCAGGAATGGGCATGGTGATGTGGAGGGAGGCCAAGGTCAGAAAGGGACAGAGACATGACAGAGACAGAGATGGGGGCGTGGATGGAGGCAGGGATAGGAACAGTCACAGTAACAACGACGACGAAAAGGGGATGGGTAGGGATTGCAGCCCGAACGAATTTGGCACCTTGGCCTTGGGTCAGGAACGCCACAAAGTTGGGAATTAAGACGTCAACGACACGGATAAGCAAAGGGACAAGAACAAGGGCATGCATGGTGACATGCGAAGGGATGCGGACATGGACATGAGCAGGGACAAAAACCAGGCAAAGACTAAGATGCAGAAAAAGGCAATGACAAAGATGAAGATGGGCAAGGGCAGTATAAGGCTAAGGCCAAGGGTGAGGACAAAGGCTACATCAAATGCAAAGGCGAGAGGAAAGGAAAAGACAGTGCTGAGGGAAAGGCCAGGGACAGGGCTAAGACCGGGCTGAGGACCATGACAAGGGCAAGGGCAAGGGCAAGGGCAAGGACAAGGGCACCATGAGGGATAGGGCTACGAGAAGGACGAGGATGAGGCCGATGAGGGAACACACAAGAAGAGGCGGGCAAAGGTGAGGATGAGTACACAAGAAGACTAGGGCAAGGACCAGGGCAAGGATCAGGCCCAAGACAAGAATGAGGACGACGATGAGAAAGACAATGTGGATAACATCACGAGCACATGCACATGCACAAACATCAGCATGATCGAGGACAAGAATAAGAATATACATGTGTTATGAGCACAAGAGCACAAGCACAGCCACAAGCACAAGCATATGAGCACAAGGACAAGCACAAGCATTAGCATGAGCCACAAGCACAAGCATATGAGCACAAGGACAAGCACACGCATTAGCATGAGGACAAGCACAGGGATGTTCATAGAACAAGTTCAGAGATGTTCATGAGGAAAAACACAAGGATGAGAAGAAGGTGGACAACAACACAGGCGAGCAGAGGCCAAGTACAAGCACAAGGCATGAGGATGAGCACACGCATGAGGAAAAGAACACAAATGAAGGCAGGGGCAAACAGCTATGAACAAGGATGGGATGGCTACAACAACAAGAACAAGGACCAGAGCAGGATCAGGAAGAGGGCAAGGAAGAGACTGAGGTCGGGGCCGGGGCCACACCCGGGGCTGAGGATGGGGACGGAGACGGAGACAAGATGGAGACGGAGACGGAGACGGAGACGGTGACGGAGACGGTGACGGCGACGGCGACGGCGACGGAGACGGAGACGGGGGCGGGGGCGGGGACGGAGACGGAGACGGGGACGGGGACGGGGACGGGGACGGGGACGGGGACAGGGACGAGGACGGGGACGGGGACGGGGACGGGGACGGGGACGGGGACGATAACGGGGACAGGGATGGGGATGGGAATGGGGATAGGGACAAAGAGGAGAACCAAAACGATGCAGAGGAAGAAAGGTGGAGAGCAGGAAGAATCCTGTTGTAATCTCAGCCCTTACCTCTTTGCTCCTGCTTCAATTTGCTCCACATACTTATTTGTACCGATTATATCTTCCAGATATTCTAGAAGCCCTTCATCATTTGGCCCTTGGGATTTGGGCTTCATCATGGAGATCTGCTCCACCTCCCCCTGACTTACAGAAACCAGTAAACAGGCACAGAAGCAGTACAAAAAAGGAAAGTGAGGAAAGCAGGCATTGATGATTATCGCACCTCCTCCCTGGACTCCGGACCACCTCCACTCCCATAGTATGGAGCTAGCCAGGGCTCCAGAAGACAGCAGTCCTGCTCTCATTCATCCTTGTGAGCTTTTCGATCATTTGGCTGTGCAGCATTTCGTGGCTGGCTGTCCGGCTGTTTGGCTATTTGGTGTTTAGCATTTCACCATTTGGCTGGTCAGCTGAGATAAGACTTCCCATATGATCTATTCTGGGGGTATTATCCTTTGATCAGGCCTCAGCAAGTCTGGGGGTTACAATGGCTTATGCTTTACCCTGCAGTACCAGTCCATGAATAGTTGGTCCATAGACGCAAAGGAAGTCTTAGAACAGAGGCTTCCCAACTGTGCGGGATGTGCGAATTGCGAGTCGAGGAGTCCTCGATTCACTGTTTTGTGGAATGCCAGCACACTGACAGACTTTGGCCAAGGTATGGGGAAGACCTTTGGGTTTTCTTTTTTTTTTGCGTCGTTTTTGTTTTCAGAGTTTCAGATGTAGAAGCAAATTGTCAAAATTTATAACCAACCATATCTTCAGTAATCTGTAAACCAAGTTTAACCAACAAAATATTTTCCGTTATGAACTTGTGCATAGTAACCGACACATTTAGGCAAGAGCCTGGCTGTGCCAGCAACCGGCCGGTTGGACCCCTGATGGCCCAACCAGAATTCCGGCTGAGCCCAAAAGTGGGTCAATTTTTTTTTATTTTTTTTTTGTTGAAAACATGGTTGGACCAGGGCTGGGCCGGCAACCGGCCGGTTCAGCTTGCCCGGTTGAACCGGAGCCGGACCAGCCCCGGGGGGGTGAACCGGGAAACCGGTTTTCAAAAAATAAAGCCTAATTCTCTTTTCTTTTTTTTTTTTTTTGCCAGATTCTGACTGCGCTCTTCAAGAGCTGTCGAAATCCGTAATAAAATTTGTAAGGTCCAATTTTTTTTGTGGGGTGCCCCAGGGGTAGATGGGGATATTATTGGGATATTCACGGAGGTGTCACTTTCAGGGGAAGGGGTCAAGTAAGCAATATTACTGCAATATTACTTATTCGACCCCCCGTGGCCCACGGACTTCAATTCAGTAGCAGAAGGCACTCTGGACTATGCCAACGGCCGTCGGAGTCCTGCAGCCTGAATGAGATGCAATAGAAGTGGATCTTTGCCAAAACTTATACCTTTTCCAGAGTATAGCTCGACGGCCGAAAAGTTATGGGTGCAGGTTTCAGCTCGTGCAGGCAGAGCGTTTTCTGTTTGTCTTTTTTGTTTTAAATACAGAGTGTTTTCTGTTGTTTTTTTGTTTTAAATACGCTGGGTCATCCTCAGTCCGAAAGTATCTCGCCTGCTAGTCTGTCCAGATACATGTAGTGGAGCCACGTGCATTCTAGATAGATTGACAGAAAATATAGCTTAGGTCCATTCTTGGGCTTGCACCTCAGACAGAGCCGAAACCCAAACCGATAACTCTTCCCCCAGAGCTTAGTGATGTTGCAGACGCATATAATCTCAGGAGATCCACTGCTCTTCCATAGTAATTCCTTCGTGGCTGAGGATGGACGAGTATGTCATGCCAATGATAACTGGTCCGTGGTCTGTCGGACCACACTATGCCAAATCAAAATGTGGGGCCTGGTGGCCCCCCAATTTTTGAGAAAACGCGCGTGGCGGTCCTTTGCCGCTGATCTGCAAAGATAAGCGGCGGAGATTCTCCGCTCGTTGTTTCCTAGAAGTGGGGCCCAAAAAGGCCCTTTTTTTTTTTTTTTGGAGCCCGCGGCCTCGTGGGGGCTGGGCAGTCGTGGGGATACCTGTCACTGCCTGGTACCCCCCGTCCAGCCTAATGCGCTGGATTCAACCGGGGGTCTGCCGGGTCGGTCGACCGGCCGGTCCGACCGGCAGGCTCCCGGGTGGGGAAGGGGCYCCCGGTCCAACCGGGGACCAGCCCTGGGTTGGACTGCACTCACCGAGATCTCCCCGAATTCGCAAAGAAAACTTTGAACAGAGAAGTTTTGTTTGGGGGGATGGGGGGTTGGGGTGGGGGTGGGGGGTATTTCAGGGGTTGCGGGTCGGGGATTGGGGGGTTTATGGTGAGGGTGTTACTGGTGGGGTTTCAGCAAGCACGGGCTTCAACATTGACAACAACGTGCCTGGCTTTCTGCAAACGTTAACCTTCCGCCCAAAACTTTGAAAAGGGGGCTGGGGGTGTTAGTGTTAGGGGGTGCGTGTCACTGCTGTCTGGTCCAAGTTGGCCTCGATACTGGTAGGGTGATGGTCCTGACTGCTGGTCACACTGAGGTAGGATAGTAGGGATAGGGGGTGCGCTGGGCGCATTAATGTGGGGAAGGGTAGGGAAGGTGGCCTATCCTGTCAGGACAACCACCGGCTGGTGCTGGCAGCAATCACCATGGATCTAGTCCTTGGCCTCAACAACACCCTGGGCTTTCAAAAAAATAAAAAATAAGAAAAAAGGGGCGCTACGGCCAACCGGGCAGGAACCGGCCCGGTCGACCGGTCCGGTTCCAGTTGGGGGAGGGCCCCCCCGTCCTACCGGGTTTGCAGCACTGGGCAAGAGTCCTTTTCCATCCTGACAGCAACGGACAGAACGGACCAGATTTCATCTGAAAACTGCAACATGGTGGACTTGATGAGAAAGGCAGGGCTGTAGGTTATACGGAAAGCCAGGAGCAGTCTGACAGTTGGAAATAAGTTGTTTTCCTTCCAAGAAATGTGGACTGAGTTCAAGCAGATGGTTGAGAGTCTTGAGACAGATATCTGGCAGAGTGGAAGGTAGTAATGAGAAAAATTAGAGGCAGAGGTGGACGAGCAGAGAAAGGTGCTCTCATGCCAAAGTTTCAAAAATCTGTGGCTGTGTGATGGCCAAATAGCAGAACAAAAGGGACACGCCCTCTTCTTTCGTAATTGGAGTGGAGAGAATCGTAGAGACATTGCAGAGAGGCAAGAGGAATAGCAGTATTTAGATGGGGGAGAAATTTCAGCTGAGAGAGTGAAGTCAGACTTGACAAGAGGCAGTGCATGGAAAAGGTTTAGACGAGCCTCGTTTTTAAATGTCTTCCTGGCAGTCCGCACGTACGAACTGAGAGGGTCTATCCAGATGTCGAGGCTCGAAGAAGCATTCAAGAGTAGTTAATCAGGGGACTCTGGACCTGGTTTCCAGTTATAGATGTCAACCCTGGTAGGTACCTTCACAGGGGTAGAGCAGGGGTTAATCCGTCCTATCAATGCCGCTGTCTGAGGTTTCTCTCACCGTAACGGAGAGAAATGTGGACGAGGTCCTTAATTGTAAGGGATGTTGGACCCATTTTCCAGTTTTCTAACATAAGACACCTTATTTATAAATAAGAAACGACTTCCCATATCAGTGGTGCTTAAACTTTAAAGTTTAGACTATTACATAGAATGACCACAATTTTTTTCGGGTGCAAAAGGAAAGAAATGATTCAAAAAGTGACAAAAACCTCAAGAATAGTAAACTAATTCCAGGAATTGAACGGGAATTCTCCATAAAGCTGTCCTTCACCAGCAAAAGGCCAGAAATCAATATACGACAGTGTCGGCCACTGAATATGTGCGGCTGTACAGCCTGGCTGGCGTACGCAACAAATCCAATTGGTTGGGAAGTGGAAAAGGGAGCAGATTGCAGGACAATCCCGATGAAGGGCCATGGTCTGGGGCGTGGAACACCCAGCAGCAGCACCCCCCTTGCTGAGGTGGTTAGTGCCAAAACACGGGCGAAGCTGATCCTTTCCTCTCGGCTTTTCTCCCTCCTTGGCTGTAAGAACATGCTTGCCGGTGATAAGCAACTGGACTGATGCCCCCCAGAATAGAAGGGGCTTTGCTGTTCGTCTAAGAGAAGAAGGAGAAGAAGAAGAAGAAGAAAGAAGAAAGAAGAAGAAGAAGAAGGGAGAAGATCACCTGCAGGATCAAGAACCGGTTGTTGTCCAGGTCCACACCCTTCTCCTTCAGCAAGTTTGTCACCTCCGTGAAGTTGCTTCCTCTGTCATCGATGTAGTACTTGGATGTATTGTTGCGCTGAGCTGTTCGGCTAATGACAAACTGGCTGTTTGGAACAACTTCGTACCCCGTATCATCCTGACGAAGACAGCCACAAACGCACAGAAACGAAAGCAAGTCAACCTATATGTTTTCATCATTCGTTTCCATCTACAGCACATTAGGTGGTGCTCATCACACCTTAGAACCATAGTTGCGGCGCACTGCTACGGTGTGCAGTGCAGCGGGGGACGCTGTGCGCCATGCACAAGAGAGTGGTGCACGTGCACGTGCACGGAAGAAAAAAAAAAA